CACTGAATGGGTCTTTAGGAACAAGCTTGATGAAAATGAAAAATAACCAAAAATAAAGCTAGACTTATTACTAAAGGGTATAATCAAGAAGTAGTTGATCATATTCCCATTAGGTGTGATAACACAAGTTCCATTAACCTCATCAAGAATCCCATAATGCATTCAAGAACTAAACATATTGACATTAGACATAATTTCATTATAGATCATATGCAAAATGATGATTGTGTTTTGGAATTTACGAAATCATCAAAGCAATTAGCTGATATTTTTACCAATCCACTCTCAAAGGAAGTATTTTATAATTTAAGAAGAGAAATTGGCCTCATTGATCCATCATATAAGTGATTACATAATTATATCTTTAATTGGCATATTTATTCTTTTGCTTGAATACAATGTTAATTTGAATCTTTGGAGGTGTTTACATGTGTTTCAAGAAGTATCTTATATGCTTAAAATGATGGAAATCAGTTTTCCTATTGTAAGAACCTGCACCGTTAATTAAGGAAGTTAATTAATTAATTATGAGAAATTAGGAAATAATTTCATAATTGACCCTAATAATTATTATAAGGCTTTAATAATCATGGTAAGTAATTAATAATGCTGAAAGTCGTTTTTCTGACGAAAAACGCAAATACCGGTTCTGCTACTCAGTATAAATGCGTATCGGTGAAGTATCCCGGAAAATTACGAAAAGTGTGTATATGTCACTAGAATAATATATGGGACTTGTAAAATAAGTTTCAAGTTAAAATAATGAGAACTGGTGCCAGAACTGATACTGGCTATGAAAAAATGCGTACCGGAAAGGTGCTGCGAAAAATAAAAATAAAACATGATAAATCTTAGAAAAATGAGTAGGTTCTGATTCCAAAGTTTGGGATTAAATGGCTAAGCGTAGCTATTAGTGCTAATAATGTGTGATTAATTTTAAGTGACCTATAAATAAACCCTTTCACACAACCCTAGGCTGATTCTCCAGCCTTTATGCGTGAGTTTGGCTGCTGGGTGTGTCTCCATGCTGGTCATCTTCTTCCTTGGCCTTCTTGCATGAAAAACCTCTCAAGTTACCTCTTTTTCCATTGATTCTTCTTCTTTCTACATTGTAAACACTTGGTAGAGTTGTTTGGGAGGGTTGAGTCAACCTTATGCTGAGTTGGTGTCTCTGTTTTGGGAAGGTAAAGGGCTGACTTGTTGGTTGAGTGTTGTGACTACCATTTCCTTGGTTGTGGGAGCTCCAAGGAGTGACCTTTGAAGAGAAAGGACCTTGCTTTGTGGTCATTTTCGTTTCTTTAGAAGTCAGAACTTTGGGAGCTTCAAGTGAGCTCCAAGAGCATCATCTTTTTCTGTTTTGAAGCATTGGGTATGTTCTTGAACCTTTGATCATGAGTTTTGGGGTTAAAGCTTGAGTCTTGGCATGTTTAATGAGTTGTTTAAGTAACCAACTCGTATATGAACCTAGAACAAAATAAAAATGCATGCTTTAACGTTGGAATGGGTTAAAAACCCAACCTTTGGAGTGATATCTCGTGAAATGTAGAAACTGCATTCTGTCGCGAAATATCCGGATATGATATCCGGATATGGTCTTTGAGATATCCGGAATCCGGATATTGATATCCGGATATGTCCCCGATGGGTTTTCGAAGAACAGTAGCTACACTGTTCATACTGAATGATATTATGGGTTTGTGAACCCTAGTTTGATGAAGTGGGACTTCTGTAATAATTGAACTAAGTCAGAATCAAGTGATTAAGGGCTTGTGGCTTTGTGAGAAGCCTTAAGACATGAAATGTAAAGGAAAGACGTTGTCCTTGTGTCTTATACTTGTTGAGTATGTTTTGATATGATTGTTGGTCCAAAAACAGATTATGATTCTGCTGTGTTTGGGCTTTGAGATTGGTTGAACTCTTGGCTTGGATTGTTAGCTTGCAAGGTAAGCTTTTGTGTCCTTGGTTTAGCCATTGTGTGGTTCCACCATACCCCATGGGGGAATGATTTATATGCATGATGTGTTTACATGCTTTGATGATTGAAAATGCTGTTGAGCTTTATGTGCAATTGCTTATAATCTGTATGTGTTGTTCCACTTAGACGGTTAGCCTGAGTATGTGGCGTCATACAAGACAGTGACATTGTGGGTGGGTGCAAGTGGCGTCTTGCATTAGTGTGGGTAATAGACGTATTCCTGCATCTCTCTGGCCAGTAGATTAGTTATAACACACTTGACATGATTATCTGCTGCATTGCACTATTTTGGAACTTATACTGTTGAACTATTTTGGAACTTATATTGCACATATAAATGAGCTTGGGGTGGAAGATCCTTGAGGACTCCTTGTCTTACTGAGATTTCTGTTCAAAGATCTCACCCCACGTTTGGGGCGCTTATTTCAGGTTCAGGTAACCCATGGGTTGAAACCTCTAGTGGCAGGAGGCCGGAGCCTAGTTGATTGATGTTTATTTGCTTATGCTGACTATGCTTGGATGCTGGTTTATATCTGTTGATATCATGCTTATAGCTTCATTTGATGTTTTGTTGAGACTCTGTTGTTATGTCGTCTATTTGGTGAGCATGGGGTTTGTCCATGCCATATTGACTTGACCTTATGTTTTTAGTTGTGAGTTGTAATAATGTATCAGGATATTGTTCGAATTACGTGTTGTAGATCCGTGACTTATATACTCACGTATTTATCTATTGAGGTATTTCAGTTAGCTGTCTTTTGCAATTTACATACATGCGATGTTTTTATGAAAATGATTAAGTAATCAACTTGGCTAAGTATAATGACGTCATAATCGAAAAGAAAAAGAATATTCCGCATTTTTATTAAGCGTGGCTTAATACGATGACATGTTAACAAACCGGGTATACACGAGGTGTTACACCTATGATCCAATGTTATTATCCATCAAAAACAAACCAAGACTTATCTTCTTCTATCTCTCAGAACAACTCAAGATTGAGAGGTAATCGATTACCTGCATATGGTAATCGATTACTTGCATATAGTAATCAATTACCAAGTGAGGGGTACAAGAAAGAATCTTTATTATGTAAAATAATTTGATGCAAACATATTTTACGAGGGAAATTGGATGCCAAACAATTTTTCTATGCAGTAGATTTACTTAGAGTGTAACAAGAAATAATCATTATTATGTCCTTTCCAAACTCAATTGATGATATCGTAGGGTGGATTTTGTAAAAATATGAATTAGATAAAAACTCTTGTGATTAGGTTGGAATTTGATTTTATATTTGATATTCTCATGTTAAATGTTGGACTGATTTCATGCATGTTATTCCCATGTTAAACTGTATTGATTGATATTTGAATGACATTATATTTATGTTTTTGGTCTATATCATTTTTTAGGTAAGAAGTTGTTAGATGATAGTACATGGCATCTAGACAAATTGAATCATCATTAAGAATTGTTAATAGAAGAAAATGTGCAAAGTTTTATGGAGAAATGAATGGAGCAACAATAATTGCATATTTACATTACATTAAATATTTAATGAAGCAAGGTAACCGATTTAATTATTCGATGGATGGAAATGAGTTCAAGAAACATTAAACACTAATGGTGAAAGCTACACGGTGTTTAGGATGGAATCAAATGCTATATTAGAACTTGAAAACATACTGGTGAGTAAGGGTTGGTTACATCCATCAAGAGAGGATGTGCTTTCTATGTTTCTTTGGACATGTGAACACGGTGAGACAAATAGAAATGTCCAACATAAATTTGGAAAATCAAGAGAGACAGTAAGTAGAAAGTTTAATGAAGTATATAATTATAATTCACTTCAATTATTATTTATGGATAAAAATAAAGTGTTCATATAGGATATATGTGAATAGGTTAATAATGTAATTTCTTGAACTTAGTTATAATCTGTGATAATTTCCTTGGATTCTTGAATATTTTGTTGGGCAAGAGATGATCCCACTATACATTATTTATATTTCGAATTAGGATAAATTTAGACTAACATCTTTTAAAATATGTGAGATGGATTATGAGAGTGCATAAAAGCTCCAAAGCACGCACACACGATTTTGTGAAAAATTTGCGTGTCGGACACGTGATCAATATTCGAGGACATGCGGTCAATTCTCCAACACGTTTTGACACATTTTTTCGACACGCAGTCAACTTTTTCGGACACGCGGTCAACGCTCGTACACGCTCGGACACGTTTTTTTTTTTTTTAAAATAAAAATCTTAATTTTATTTTTTTAACTAAATTTAAAAGAAATAGTTTATAAATTAATTTTTTTCTGTTATGAAATTTGATATGAAAAATTAAAAAAGTATGAAAAATTATTTATATTTATATTTATGTTATGAAATTTAAATGTTTGATTGGTTATATGAATTATGGACTCTTATATGTATTAAATATAAAATATATTATATATATTAAAATTTTTATTTATTATCAAAACGTGTCCCAAAATTAACGTCTTAGCGTGTCATGTCGTGTTCCGTGTCCGTGTCTATGTCTCATACCATAAAAGTATATATATATATTTTTTTGATAACCGCATAAAAGTATATTTTAATTGCCTCTGTGGATCAATATGCTAGTTTTAATAAATAAATGAGTTATGTGCATAGAAAAAATTCCGAAAGGAGAAAGTTGTAAGGTGTACTGGCCCGTTAGTATGGGGTTATTAAAAAAATATTTTTTTATCCCTTATGTATTTTAAAAATATTTTTTATAAAAGATAAAAATTTTTAGATTTTTTTAAAATATTTAAATTTTGAAAAAAAAATATATTTAGCTTTTACTTCAATTTGTTTAAAAAATAAAATTTTTATCTTAAAGTTTTTTTTTTTTTTTTCTTTTGATCTTTTGAGAAGCAAATATCCAAACAGAAGCAAAAATAATTACCCATTCAACGCGCTTAAAAAAATAAAAAAAACACTTTTTGTGGAATAAAGATTGAAAATATGGACCTGCCGTATTGAATGAACCCAAATAAAAAACCTCTTACCCTATGAAAGCAAATCGCAGCTGAATAACCAAAGGTCAACTCATTTCGGCACCCAGTCTCCTCCAAAACCCTAATCCTTCGTTATCGAACATTGAAGATCCTTTTAGCTTCTGAAAATGGCAAGTTCTCTTTCTCAAACCTCCACGCCTTTCTCTTTTGTGAGTTCAATCTAACGCTTTATGTTTCACTTTGCAGGCCGATTCTCCTCTTCGAAGGTAGACCCTAAAATCCTCCTTGGATTCTGATAATAATCATTATAATAATTGCAATGATCTATTTCGTCTTGCGCTTATGGGTCGGTGATTGTTTAATTGTAAGATCTGGGTTTGCGGATTTTCTTTGCCATACTTAGGCAAAATGATCTGCAGTGGAGGATTTTGTGGTCGTTTTAATCATACGTTTATAGTTTTATTTAATTAGTTATTTATTTATTTATTTAAATTTGACTCTGCAATCGCTTTAGTGTGAATTATTGAGATTTGTTCAAGGAATGGGTAGTTGACTAGTCGTGTTGTTGATATGAGAAATTGAGAATTTGCCATAACATTCTTGAGACAATGTACTTAGGATATTGCTTTATGGAAGGTGGCCACACTGGATATGAGATTCTGGGTTAATGAAGTTTCTTCTTGTTTTTAATAGTTTTTCTTTTTCTCCTCACTATGGAGCTATTTTCTCTGGTCATAATGGTGTTTCAGGAATTCAAGATCCCCTTCCCCATGGAAAGCTCAGTCAAGATCGAGATCAAGGTCTAGATCTAGGTCGAGGTCGAGGTCTAAGCCAAGACAAAGGCCAATATCCCATTCAAGAAGTCGTGGCAGGTTAGTGGCAATAGTGGTTTAGATTTCAAGTCTTTTTTTTATTTCTCCCGTTCAAGCGGTGCTTCAATCTTAGTGCCTGACTTTGTGGAATGGCTGGTATTTTCTTCTTCAGATCAAGGTCAAGAAGTCCTGGAAGGTTGGTCTTTTTCGATTTTGTTTATATTCTGTCATAGTACTTTGCTTGAAAGGGTCACTTCTAGTCTCCAAGGTATTTCTGAAAGGGTTACTCTGTTTTAATGATGCACCGGTAACTTATAATCTTTTCAATTATATTGCAGGACTGAAATTTCAAATCCTGGCAATACTCTTTATGTAACTGGTCTATCTTCAAGGGTCACCGAGAGGGACCTAGAGGATCATTTCTCCAAGGAGGGAAAGGTGAGCATCATATTGGTTTTGTATTCATTTTTCACTGAATTTTTATATACTTCACACCTCCACTGAGCCCTAAATCTTGGAATTACAGCTAATGGTCGTTTTCTTTTGTAGGTTGCTTCATGTTTTCTTGTGGTGGAGCCTCGTACTCGTGTTTCTCGTGGTTTTGCTTTTGTTACAATGGATTGTGTTGAGGATGCGGACCGTTGCATCAAGTATCTCAATCAATCAGTTTTAGAGGGTCGTTACATCACTGTTGAGCGGGTATTGTGCTTTTCCATTAATAGTAGTTGATAAAACTTTTGTACTTTTCTTTCTTCTTGACTTGAAGGTTTTCTGGCATTCAGAATACATTGCATCAGCTATGTTGGCAGCAATCAAAGATGATCAGTTCATCCATGTCAACTTTAGTGTAACTGCTTGATCAATGGCAAGCTTAAACAGCTAATCAATGCGTCTGATCAACTAAACATAGCAACTATATTGCCCAACAACTTTACATCCTCAGCATTCACTTTCACCTCTCAACTAAACAACGGACATTATCAACAACTTTCTAATCAGGCTTTTATGGTGTCTCACACCTGGTATTAATCATGTGTGTGGATATAAATTTTTTTCACCTTCTCTTAGAAGCTAGGCTCTTTACCTTTAATCCTTCATGAAACTTTCTTTTAAAGGAATCTCTTAATATAATGTAGAATGTTTCTTCATAGAACTTGAAAAGGCAAGAAAGATGTCACGAGATTCAAGTTTATTTGCTATCAGGGGTATTTCAATGATTATGTCTTATATCAAGGAAACACAAGGGTTTGAGCTCCTGTATTTTATTTCAGTCACGAAGAAAACGCGCAAGAACTCCAACACCAGGACACTATCTTGGGCTGAAAAATACTAGAGACTATGGTAAGTTTGACTTGAGAAACTTCTAACTTGAATGGTGATTCTAATCTTTTTTTTTTCTTCTTAAATTCCAAAATTTATTAATTTTACTGAATTTTATCTTCCCTTGTTAAGGCTATCGTGGTGGTGACCGAGGAAGGTATCATGGTGGTTCAGGTCGTGACGATCGTAGGTCTCCAAGACGTTCACCATATCGAGGAGGCCAAGATTATTCACCACGGCACTCACCTTATGGTGGAAGATCTAGGAGGGATAGATCTAGGTCGCTTCCATATTCTCCATATGGTAGTCCAGAGAGGAAGTATGCTCGTGGACCTAGGTGATATTTTGTGTTAGCATATTTTCTATCTGTGAACAGGGGAAGCAAAATTCTATTATGGTACTGTTACTTTCGATTTATGCCTACATGTGATGTATGCTTGTATTGTAGAAGATACTGTTCGTGTGTGACTATCAGTTTGCCTTTCGGTGAAGTCACACATTAAGTTGGAGTGGACAAAGGTGTTTTAAAGTTTCAATTTGAAGCATATAAGCTTTTGTAATACGGAATGGAGCCTTTGCAACTCGAGTTTTTCGTGTCTGCATTCTATGCCCCAAATGTTTGTGCATCATTTCAACAACTATTTTCTTTCAAGCCATTATACCAGCGCATTTTTTGTTTTTTTAATGATTCAATGGTATTCTGTGTCAAACGTTAACCTTGAATGGATTATCTGCTGCTGACTCTAGTCTCATTAACATGTCATGGGTGCATCACATGTGTGCTTGATAAACTGCTTTTGTTTCAATTCATTGAATTTCATAATTAATTAAAAAACCACTTTTCCCTAATCTTTGTATGCAGTCTTACTTTCGTATAATTGTTTTCCTAAATTCGAATCCACGACCTTTCAGTCATAAAAAAAAGTTTTACTATTGTTCCAGTTCGTCTCCTCTTTTATTCTTCATCATCACCTTGTTCACACATTTGTATCAAAGTAAATTTTTTTTTTTTTCTGTACTTCGAATAAATTTTGCTTAAGTTACTTTTAGTGCAGAATAATTTAATGTTAGCACATTAGGTCCTTATTGATCGTATCTGATTCATATTATTCAAAGCTTGAACAACGGAGTAGGAAACTAAGAATTGAAAGCTTTCATGAAATTCTGTTTGAAACTATTTTTCTACATAGCGGAGCTCAATCTCCTGCTTAATGGACATACGATACAAACTGATCTCAATATGACTAGTATAGTATGGGCAAGTTCCAAGAATTAGTCTCAGAATGACAATTCCACAGTCGACCTTGTCGGGTTTTTATATCCAATCTCTAAATGCTTGCTTAGAAACCTTTACAGATAGTTTCTCATTGCTTTAACTAAATTGAGTGTCTTTTATCCTATGAAGCACCGATACTTCAAAAACTGTCGTGTCCGACACTTTTCAACACTCTCGGACATCCGACACTCCCCGACACTTCAACACGCGTTCTAGAAATTCAAAAAAAGGTTCAAAAATTAAGTTGCGTTGAGTTTTTAGTTCTAACTATTAGATTTGTTGGATTATGATTACCATTTTATTGAGTTTAATATAAATATTTGAGATATCTTATGTTTCTTTGCAAAATTTATGAATATCATAAGTCTAGATACATTTTGTTATTAAATTATTGAATATTAAATATAATATATACTACATAAATTAAAAATGCAGATAACTTATCTGCAGTAACTGCAGACATATTAATCACATATATTAAATGCAAACTATATATATATATATATATATATTACGAATATTATTTAATATCAAAATGTGTCTTAAAGTGTCAAAATCTAACATTTTGTAGAATTAACATGTTAGTATGTCGCGTCGTGTTTCATGTCAGTACAATAGTGAGTACAACCCCACCTTGTTCTAATGAAGAGTCATGGATTATATGTCGTGTCGTGTTTCATGTCAATACAATAGAGAGTACAACCCCACCTTGTTCCAGTAAGAGTCATGGATTAAGCTGTATCAAATCACTTGTAGATGAAGATAGGTAAAAATGGTTTTGATCAAGATTAATTCTAGTCAACTGTCAATTTAATGTTAAATGCTTGACATCTTAAATACTAAATCATAATTGACTTTCATGTTTCTATTATGAATGTAGATAAGTTATCTATATTTACTCTCAAAATGATATCATTTTGGGTTGAAAGATTAAAAAATTATAATGATAAAGACTATTATAACCTTAGAATAAATTATAATTATAAAAATACCTTAATTTTTGTCCCAAAATAATATTATTTTGGACTCAATACAGATAACTTATCTGTATTCACTGTATATAAAAATGAACCCATCATAATTATATAAAAGCAATCCGTGATAATATAAAAATGAACCATCAAGATTAATTCTAGTCAAGTGTCAATTTAATGTTAAATGTTTGACATCTATGGTGAATGCAGATAAGTTATTTATATTTATTCTCAAAATGATGTCATTTTGGGTTGAAAGATTAAAAAATTATAATGATAAAGACTATTATAACCTTGAAATGAATTATAATTATAAAAATACCTTAATTTTTGTCCCAAAATAATATTATTTTGAACTAAATACAGATAACTTATCTATATTTACTATACATAAAAATGAACCCATCATAATTATATAAAAGATTATAACAGAAAACTCGTAATACTTTTTCTCTTAGCAGTTGTTTAGCATGGTCCCAACCAAAAATAAATGTGTTTCCGATCATGGTAGCTGGGGATAAGACTATAAGGAGCGGGGTACCAAAAAAAAAAGACTATAAGGAGCGAAGGTGGCGTGGCGGTGGGTGGTGCATCCCTGGTCAAGTCCAAAGGGTACATCTTGTCATCTTCCCATTATGGAATATTATATGTCCTTTTGATAAAGGGATTTTATTTCTTGGATTTAACCTTGATATTATTTTAGGGTCAATAACAAATTTTTTTTTTTTTTTTAATCAACAACAGTCAATGCAAAATATTTTCACGTTACTATTCAAACATTCTTTGGTCCTTGCGGATCCAGATTTATTCAAAGTGATGCAACTAAGACTACCGTTACAATTTTCTTGAATGATACACAAGTTTTGTACATTTTATTTTTTTATCTTTAACGATAGGAGGACGATTACTGTAACTCCAGAGTAGCATCTTGATAGCAATAATATTTTAAAGAAGATACAATTAGCACACGGAAACGCAAGCACAGCCCACAGAGACGAGACTTTTCACCTCTCTCTTTCTCTCTCTCTCCCACCGGTCTCAAGTGAGAAAAGAAAAACAAATAAAAGTCTCCTTCATCTCTTCCCTTTTTCTTTCTCATATAATAATACTATTCATTCATTTTCAATTTTCAATTTTCAATTTCAGATCTTACTTATTCTTCCTCTCCCATTCTCGATCTCTGTGGAGATTGGTTTCCCCAAACACAAACACAAACACAATGATGAAACAAAGACACTCTCGCGTTGGGCCTCGGAAATCGTCGTCAATGTCATGGACGCTGATACTAACCATGCTGGTGTCGTTTACCTTCCTCATTCTCATTCTGCTCGCTCTCGGAATCCTCTCCATTCCAAGCACCTCCTCTCGTCTCCCCAAACCCAACGATCTCACATCCATCGCTCGCAACACTCTTCTTACTCATAGGTACATCAATTTTTTCTTCTTTTCAATGAATCCGCTTCATTCCATTCCCTTTTTTTTTCTCTCTCTTATTAATCTCTGTCTCTCTCTTTTCTCTTTTCTATTCAGTGAAGGTGAAGAAGAGAAGTGGGTTGAATTAGTATCATGGGAGCCTAGAGCCTTTGTTTATCATAACTTTCTGGTTAGTTTTAATTTTTCCTTTACATTCTTTTATTTCTATGATTTCCATTTTGTTCTTAATTATCCCAATTTCATGTACACACAAATGTGTAAAATCACTTTCGGCTCGCTTTTTATAATATTGTAGTGACCGCAAATTATGTAGTGGAGTACAAATGAGTTTCGTTACACTTTCAACATTCTCACATTTTTCTTATTCCAGTTATTCTGTTTACGTATTTTACACTAGCAAACCCCTAATCGTTTTCAGAGGTGAAGATTTGATTTTTTTTACTGAATTGTGTTCATGGTTTAGGAAAATAACAAAAAAAGAAATAAAAGAAACGTCCGAAATGGAGTAATGTTGTGGAAAAGAGCTGTATTTTTTAATTGTGGAGTATCACTTTAACACGGCATGACATGGTTATGTTGTGTTTAACCATTGTTTAAGGTTAATGCCTTATTGTAGCATTAACATTATAATGTCCCCGCCTTCCAAATACTAAAATTTAGCTTATTTATCTGAGCAGACTAAGGAGGAATGTGAATATCTAATCAATATAGCCAAGCCAAGTATGCATAAGTCGACAGTTGTTGATAGTGAAACTGGAAAGAGTAAAGACAGCAGGTTAGATTTTTTTTTTATCCTTGTATTTCTGTATTAAGTATACTTCAATATTGAAAATAAATATTTTTTCCCTTGATGGCAAACCTTGTCTGTACATGTTCCTTTTGCATTAGAGTACGGACAAGCTCTGGAACTTTTCTGGCCAGAGGACGTGATAAAATTGTGAGGAATATTGAGAAAAGAATTGCTGATTTTACTTTCATACCCGTAGGTACGTAATTTCTGCCTTTTCCTGCCTTTTTTAATGATTTTTCATTGTTGATAAAATTTAGGATTCAATACTCTTGCTAATTTTCCTGGTTAACCTATGTATCAAGTCAACAATCCTGCTCCCTGTCTTTAAAGTTTCCATGAACCTGCCTCCCGTGTACCCATTCTCTCGCATTGGCGGACCTAGGAATTTATATGGGTGGGGGCGAAAATAAAAGTGTTTACTCCCCCCTTAGGTCCGCCTCTGCTTTTCCAGCACTCTCTGAGAGCCAACATTTTCCACATCAACAAGAGCTTCAAGCCTCTCCAAGTGTTGCAACTCACTGAATGCAGCCTTAACCACTTGTTTCACAACCTGCGTGACAATCCCTTTACCCCAGTATTTGGAACCCAGAACATAGCCTAGTTCCGCTGATTTGTTCCTGGATTTATCATGGGCTGAATATGAGGACAGAGAAGTACACCCAATAGCATGATCGTTAAGGCATATTGCCCTGCACCATAGAAACTTGCTTGCTATATTTTCAATGAAGTTAATGCCGTCTTCTTTGCTGGTGTAAGGTTCCCAAGAGCAAAACTTGGCAACCTTTTCATAGGTGGTGCACACCATGAGATCATCAAGGTCAGAAAGATTTAAGGGTCAAAGAGAGATTTGGGTCATATTAACGCTCTCTGATCCTTGACGGACCAATAAGTTTTGGGCTGTAATCACAAAATTAAAGACAATGTATACACATAAGAAATAAAGTTTTAAACGTTTATATTTGCATTAAAATACAATAATGTAAAATAATAATTTTAATTTTGTTTCACATAGAGAACTTTTTTATGCTACTTGCCACATTGTCAAAGAGTTTGATATCTAAGGTAATTGTTATCATAGTCAAACTCTTTTAATTATATGGCAGCAGATGAATGGATGGTTAGTATAAAAATTTCTTATATTGATAGTATATTGAAATTAAATCCTAAAAACAGATACATTTACAATTTTTTCTTAAGTAATTTTATATTTTCAAACCACACCATGTTATCAAATATTTATGACTCTATGTATATAATAAAAAAATCGTTCATTTCTTATATGCTTGCGAGTTTGAATTTAAAATATTTAGTGATTGAAATGCCGAAGCAATCTTTCACGTTAGTTTGTATACCAAATATGCGTCTTGAATGAATATTGTGACAAGCCTGCATGAGACTGACTTTGTGAACTTTGTGAAATTGAAGTTGTGCTTGTGCTCCATTATTCTGCTTACTAACCCTTGTGCATTTAAGCTTTTCTTTTGAATATGAAAAGGAAGAAAAATTATGTGACACAAAAGAATTCCTTGGAAATCACATTAGTGATAACATCCATATTATTTTTTAGCAATTAGTTTGCTTTATGAAATTAAAATATTAGTTGTTCAAATATGTGCAAATTTAGGCTGTGCTTATACTTTCAATAAGATATGTTTGAATTCCATCTATCATCACCTCTAGACATTTGCCTCAGTTTTCTTTCTTTAAAAGTTTGAAACAACTAGCTGCTGCAATGGGTCATTATGTTGTGTGGCTATTTCACCCATTTATGAAATGTGGATAAGATATATTTTAAAACTGATTTTCCACCAATCAAGCAAGATTGATAGAACCCTTCCAAGTCCAAACAATTCAACACACAATAACACAGAATTTGGGAAATAAATGCTGGAATCTTGTATTTCAGTGATAGAAAATTACGAGATATGGTTCAGGCTTGAAAGAAACAGAATTACAGTGATGAAAGAGTCTACAATTACTTGTAAAACTGTAATGCAGAAAAGGGAAAATTACAGTAAAAAAGGGATAGTGCAGAGCAATTCGAGAGGCTCTACTCTGTCTCCCAAGTCCCAAGTCCAAGCAATATCCAAGACAATTCTCATGCCCCCATACCTCCACTACTTATTTAGCTTTTCCCTCCATTTCTTCCTAACCGTTTTCTGTTTTAGTCACACCTAACAACTCATTTGCTGACTCATCCAAATTGCTTTCCCTAAATGCCCTTAAAGGTAGTATCGTATCAAAACTCTCCCCCCCCACATTGTCCTCAAGGTGCATGTCAGCCCACAAAAATCTTCCACATGGATCCCATTGTTTGAATTGTAAGGACCAACTTATGCAAGAAGCAAAATAGTTCCCACCAAAATCCCATGCCTCTTCTGCAACTGCAACTGAATTAGGATAATAGACCTGCCCATTAAAATGTTGTTGAAGCTTTTCATTTGCAAAATTGATACAGAATTGCTCAAAACTATTATCCTTAAAGCCCTTGAAATCATATATATCCAAAACTCCAACTTGCACTTGGGAGTTGATATCCTGCCCAGCAGACCTAATGATCTTATCAAAAAGCCAATCAAATAAATGAACATAAACAGCTTTTGTCAAAGCATCCCGGCCAGCAACAATAGCATTACAATCAAGAGTTTTGACAATATTACCTTCTTGGGTTTGTATTGAATGGATACATGACGTTGCTACCTGAAGGTTCAAATCACACCTGAAAAGATTAACAGCCATTTGCAAATGAAGTCTTGATTTTTCATCCCTTATTACTGACAATAATTCTCTTTTCCATAAGAAAATTCAATGCTTCTCTTATGTAAAACTGCAGCTGAGGTACGAAATATGGTTTCCTTATCCTCATGACTTATACTAACAATGTCCATTTCTCTCCACGTCTTCACGTACTCTTTAGCACCATTAACCCCATCTTTTTTTGTCTGACCTGGTGTTGAATCGGTCAATTCTTCTTTTGGTTCAGCCTCGCTTTCATCATTCTTATACACCATTGACAATTGCAATTGTCCCATCTTACACTTGTGACCCGGATTCCACTGCTCCTCACTTTTGAAGTAAATACCCATCCTCTGACATTTTTGCGGCTCTGTTTGTGTCAGCCATTGACCAATACTGCCATGGTTTTCCAGCGAACAATCCCAAGAGCTGCATTGAGATTGGGGTTGGTATTCCCTTTTGTCGCGACTAATTCTCACGAACTTTCCCCTGGTGCAGGTTGTGGATTAGAAAAACCCACATTTTGAGAATTACTTCTTTTAAATTTGTTTGGGCTAGACTCAACCCATTGGGGCTGATCAATTTTAGTGATTCCATCTGAAAATACCTTGCCCAATGGTCCAATCCCTTCCTCCTCCCTGGCTTGGTTTTTTTTTTCTTTCAATTTTTAGAGAGAGCTTAATCAAATCTGAAAATCGAATCGTGGGAAACATCAATAACTCCTCTCTGATACTAGCCTTGACCCCATTCAACCATGCCTCTTTCCAAAGATCTTCATCTTTATAGCGTAGCATTCACACCTTACGTTCAAATTCTATGCGGAATTCAGCAATTGTACCTGTTTGACGCAAAGTGTACAAGGTCATATTAGCATTACCCCTGTTCCATGTTCTTCTTTCGTTTCTGCCATCTGACGCTTCTAAATCTGGGCTTGCATGTCGTGAAAGGTGTTGCTTAGATCTGCTTAGTTCATTCATCCATTCCATATTTTGTGCCATGCTATCAAGACGCCGTATGATCTCCGCTTGTTGCGCATTGTTTTTGCCCAGCCTCCGCATCACCTCAGATTGCTGCTCTTCATTTCGTTGCAGTTGCTCCTCAATAATCTCTATCTGATTCTTCATATTCCTTGCAGTCATCATCCTCAGAGCTCCCGGATGGGAGTTCTGATACCAATTGATAGAACCCTTCCAAGTCCAAACAATAACAGAGAAATTGGGAAATAAATGCTGGAATCTTGTATTTCAATGACAGAAAATTACAAGATATGGTTCAGGCTTGAAAGAAACAGAATTATAGTGATGAAAGAGTCTACAATTACTTGCAAAACTGTAAAGCAGAAAAGGGAAAATTACAGTAAAAAGATAGTGTAGAGCAATTAGAGAGGCTCTACTCTCTCCCAAGTCCCAAGTCCAAGCAATATCCAAGATGTCATTCTCCCATCCCTCCACTACTTATTTAGCTTTTCCCTCCATTTCTTCCTAACCATTTTCTGTTTTAGTCACACCTAACAACTCATTTGCTGACTCATCCAAATTGCTTTCCCTAAATGCCCTTAAAGGTAGTATCGTATCAATGGAATACTTTTGTTTGCCTTTGCCATCAGGACTATATGCTGAGATAGTGTTAGTTTTCATCATATACTTAAAAAACCATTAAATAAGCTGTGTCTCAATATGCAGAGCATGGTGAAGGACTTCAAGTTCTCCATTACGAAGTTGGACAAAAGTATGAGCCTCACTATGACTACTTTATGGATGAGTTTAACACTAAGAATGGGGGTCAGCGTATAGCAACAGTACTGATGTACCTGTAAGTGACTTTAATTGCCTCTTATTTATTGTTTACTTCAAATTGTGTTCTAGATGAAGATAGAGGGTCATGCTGTGTACTTTTTGTATTTTAATGATACAGTACAGATGTTGAAGAAGGGGGTGAGACAGTGTTCCCAGCTGCCAAGGGAAATTTTAGCTCTGTGCCTTGGTGGAATGAGCTTTCTGATTGTGGGAAAAAAGGACTTTCAATTAAGCCAAAGAGGGGTGATGCTTTACTTTTCTGGAGCATGAAGCCTGATGCAACTTTAGATCCATCGAGTTTGCATGGTTAGTTTCTCTTTCATGATCATTATTATTATGACTGAGCTGCTTGTTGTGTTAACAAGCTTTCACTTTTAGCGAAGATAAATTAACAAGATTATCTGTTTTCGTGATAAATTTCAGGTGGTTGTCCAGTGATTAAGGGTAATAAGTGGTCAAGTACCAAATGGATTCGTGTCAATGAATACAAAGCTTAAATATGCATGACTATAGGTAATTGTTACCCCCTTTTGTAGTACTGACATAAATATAGGTATACAGTTAAGGCTAGACAATAGTATCTCTTTGGCAATGTTTTACATAATACCGAGTGCCTAGGGGGGAGATCTTTTTTTTGCTTCTTTTCTCCTTATAAGCAGAAACTAGGCCATACAGGTTTTTACAAAAGCTCTTATAATAAAGAGTTTTTTTTTTAATAATGAAGAAAAAAGTCAAAAGCCAAAAACTCCTACGAGGAGATTTTTTCAAGTGTTATCAATTTTTTTTTTTTTTTTTTTTTAAAATGAATAGCTTTTTTTGAAATGAAGAGCTTTTAAGCTAAAAGTTTTCTATAATCATCAAACAGCTTTTAGTTTTATTTTTAAACCTATTTTTTTTAGTTTTAGTTTAAAAGTAGGTTTTAGCTTAAAAAGAGATGCCAAACAGGCTATGAGTCTGAGCTTTTGCATGCATTTTCATATAAAAAGATATTGTAAGTCAAATATCTTCTCAAATTTCATGATTTCTTTTGCACCATCATATTTATTAAGGGTGAGCCTTGCTACAGCGGTAAGGTTGCTCCTTTGGGATCGGAAGGTCACAGATTTGAGTTTGGGAAACAGTTTCTTAGATAAAATGCAAGGGTAAGATTGTATATAATTGACTCTCACCCCTACTCTCGTAAAGTGAAGAAGCCTTGTGTACCGGGGTTTGTCCTTTTTATCATGTATATTAAGTTCTACTGTTGGGGGATTCAAGTGGACAAAATATAGTGTGGAGAGTTGGTTTAGAATCTTTTGCAATCTATACAATTCTTCTGGATTAAAACTGATAGAACTGGAAACTGATGTTTGTTTACTTCATATTCTACTTACAAAATGGGTCACAGATTTGAGTTTGGGAAACAGTTTCTTAGATAAAATGCAAAGGTAAGATTGTATATAATTGACTCTCACCCCTACTCTCGTAAAGTGAAGAAGCCTTGTGTACCGGGGTTTGTCCTTTTTATCATGTATATTAAGTTCTACTGTTGGGGGATTCAAGTGGACAAAATATAGTGTGGAGAGTTGGTTTAGAATCTTTTGCAATCTATACAATTCTTCAGGATTAAAACCGATAGAACTGGAAACTGATGTTTGTTTACTTCATATTCTACTTACAAAATGTATTTCTAGCCAATCATTATTCTGAGCTGTGGCTTTTTGTTTAATGAATTTAATATGATAGTTGTTTTTATTCACCTAAAAGGACAAGCTTCGATCTATGATAAACCTGTTTCATGGCAACCAAAAGGTCATACTTTAAATTCAAGAAACAGTCTCTTTGCAAACATGTAAGGATCTGTACCAGGATTTTTCTCACTTCTACCCTCACCAGTTGAGGTTTCATGGGAAGTGCTTATTTTTAGTTGTTGCTATATTCCTCTCATGTTGATTTACTTCTTTTTCAGGCTTCTATAATTCGTCATGCCAATATTGTACCAAATGATAATTGGAGCTGAAACATCGCATGATAATGCTTTCAGGGCTGGAAGGAAATGTTGTTTACAGCAATTGTGGCTTTCTGTAATTTTGGATGTTCTACAATACTTAAACTAATTTTATTTTTTCCTACCCTTTTCACCTATACAAATATTGATTTTTTTTTTAATTTTTTTTTTTTTTATATTTGTGAATTTGAATTAGGGGGGCTAAAAAAAATGTACGAGACTAATAGATGGAATGAGTATACTACCGGCTTTTCACGCAGAGTATAATTTAATTTTTAATCTTTGTAAATCTGCTTGTGTTATTAAAGATGCAAAGTATCAAGAGACAAAAGGAACATTGAATAAATTTGTGCGTTAAAATAGCACAGCAAAGATTATATTATGGGTTTTATTTGTATCAAGTAACAGGACCAATTACTTTTTTTCTTGCTGATAGAGTGAGATATGGGTTCCACGCAAGAGAAAAATAAAGAAAACAGAAAACACTGCTTTCGATGGGAGAGCGGGAAAAAAAACATGTTTACAGTAACATGACAATTGATTTTCCCTTATATTATATATAAAACTATTGTGTATATATAATCTGAAATATATGATGTGAGACTAAGTCTCTTATACTACTTCTATTATATACATCATTTTCCCTCAAGCTAAAGCGTATAAATTATAAGCACCAAGCTTGTTGCATGTATACTTTATTCAAAAACTTTGTTAATAGATCTGCTAATTGATTATTATAGGGTACAAAATTGATCATAATTTTACCAAAAAGGACCTTTTCTCGAACAAAGTGACAATATATCTTGATATCTTGGTTTTTTCATGAAATACTGAATTGGAAGAAATATATAGTGTTGCTTGGTTATTACAAATTAGAGTTGTTGGTCCAGTGTCTCCAAAATTGAGCTCTCTAAGAAGTTGCTTTAGCCAAATGAATTCGCAAGTAGTAGTAGCCATGGGGTGATACTCTACTGCAACACTTAATCTAGTAACTACAATATGCTTTTTACTTTTTCAGGAAACCAATTTGTCTCCAACGAAGACATAATATCCAATAGTAGATCTCCTATCAATAGGACAACCAGCCCAATCAACATCAGAGTATCTGATAACTTAACATGACATTTATCTTCATATTTAAGGCCTTTTCCTGAAGATGCCTTGATATATTTGATGATAAGAATGATGACATTCCAGTGTTCTTGACATAGAGAATTAAGAAACTGACTTACCACACTAACTGCGAATAAAATGTTAGGCCGAATGACTGTGAGGTAGGTAGTTCAGTTTTCAAAGCAATCTTCTATACCTTTCAGGATCTAAAAAAGGACCCCCCTGATTCAATAGAAGCTTAACATTTGGATCCATATGGGTATCAACAGACTTATAATTCAACAAAGCAGTCTCTTCAATAATATCCATAGCATATTTCCTTTGAGATATCAAAATTCCATCTTTAGATTGGACGACCTCGATTCCCAAGAAATATCAAAGTTTCCCAAGATCCTTGGTATAAAAATGATGACATAAATGTTGCTTCAACTGAGTAATCCCATGAGTATCACTACCTGTGATGACACTATCATCAACATACACCACCAAGTAGATAGATTCAGAAGCTGAATGAAGATAAAAGAAGGAATGATCAGCCTTACTTCGAGTCATACCAAATTGTTGAACAATAGTGTTAAATATGTCAAACCAAGCTCGTGGAGATTGCTTGAGACCATATAGAGATTTGCAGAGATGACAAACAAGACCCGACTCCTCCTGAACAACAAACCCAAGAGGTTGCTCCATATAAAATTCCTCCATAAGATCATGAAGAAAAGTATTCTTAATATCAAGTTGGTAAAGAGGCTAGTGACGGATAGCAGCCATAGCAATGAAGAGGAAGACATAAGACATCTTTGCCACAGGGAAAAAAAATCACCATAATATAGTCCAAATACCCAAGTAAATCCCTTTGTCACGAAGCGGGCTTTAAGACAACCCACTTTACTATCAGGACCAACCTTTATAGCATAAATCCATCAACAACCAACTATAGACTTTCCAGATGGAAGAGGAACCAGATCTCATGTGCCATTATGCTGAAGAGCACACATCTCATCAATAATAGCCTATCTCCATTTGGAATGGGAAAAAACTTCACCTGTAGTCTTATGAATAGACACAGAAGACAAAAAAGAAAGACATGCAAAATATGATGGAGAAAGATGATGCTAACTAACATTAACTAAATACTTGGCTAGAGGGGTGCGTATCACGGGTACCTTTACGGAGAGCAATGAGAAGGTCACTGGACGAAGGTGGGACCGAAGCCGAGGGATGAGATGTAAAGAAAAGAATGGCTAAACACAAACATAAAGGGGGTGAATTATGTGTTACTTCTTTTTCAAGAAACAATGAATTTCAACACCCCTTTTCAATAAAATATACAAGAACGAATTCAAACAGAAAACTAACAATCCCTAATCCAAATATAGATTCAAAACATCATTTATAACATACAATTTGAGTTATATGCACCAGAAATTAAAAGGATGGGGAAAAGAGAAGAAAACACCAAATTTATCCTGGTTCACTCTCAAACCACGACAAAGCTACAACCAAACTGAAGTCGATCATTCCACTATATTCAAGTTTCCAACCGGTGCCTGAAAAATTAATTTACAACTGGAATTTTACAATTCTTATGATCTCCTTAGACCACATGTTGGGCGTGTGAACTTGTTGGTTGCTTAAAATATTATGATGAAGGACGTTCCTTTACTTTAGTTCATCAAGAGAAAACACTTTCGTTCTCTTGACTTCAACCTAAGTGCGCAAATGCACGCATCAAGTAATAAATAGGACTATTAATGCCCAGATTATCATTCCTACAAGGATAGTACTCTAATTAATGCCTTAAACTATTTTAAAAAGAATGAAAATGAAAAGAAAAGTTAGTAATTGACCTATTTGGTCAAACGTTCTCTACTGTCTTGACAACGTTCCTCAAGAACAGTAGGTTCAATCCGACAGCAAACAGCTCTTCGCTTCGTTATGTATGATATCATTCTTGTTGAGAGAAGGGACAACAATATTCATGGGAGAATGATTGATACAAGATTGAACAAAAAAAAAAAACAATAAAAACAATAATAACAATATTTAAGAGACAACAATATGTAGTGATAAAAACAGTTTTTAACAGAAGGAACGAATCCACTGTTCTATTCTTAAATAGCTATATTCTCCACTCAAGCCTTAACATTTTTGGCTTTGATCAGGTCTTTTCACTGCAAACTCTTATTCCTCAGCTCATGGACTAAATGGCTCACAAGTTTATATATTTCTATGGCTCCCTTGACTCCAACATTTACTTAGCACGGGACTTTAGTGAACGAGGTGGTCCCTTATTCCTAAGGCAACCAGCAGTGTTGTTTTCACAACACTGCCTTCCCCCTCTGGTTAAGCTATCTGAAATCTCTTCCTTGTGGAAGTTCCTTTCTCAGTATGTGTTCAATTTCCATTGATACACAATGAATATAGCTCACTTAACTAGAGAAATACGAAAGCTTCAGTACAAGAGTTTTGAAAATAGTTCTTTAAGAACTTCACAGTTTTTTTGATCCACAGATAGCTTAGCCCATAGTTACTACTTTAAACATAATTATTTCAAACTGAAATCCCATAGACCCGAGATTCAGTTCAGAGATAACGAGTGGAAAAGAAGAGAAATAACGCGGTAATTTAATTAGAAACAAATTAGGTTACAATAAAATAAAAAGTGGAGAAGTATGGTTGTTGCTTGTGAGGAGTATTAAGTGGGTGATACAGAATAGAGAAGAAGTTGTTGTCACTTAACTAATGCTAAAACTATACAACTGAAAACGTAAAAGTACAAAATAAACTAAGTGATCTCTTCTTAAGGAATTTAATGATCTTCTTCGTGATTTCCCTGGAGTTGTTTTCTTGACTGCATGAACGGGGCGGCGTGAACAGTGCTCAGAGGGACGCAAGTTGCTTGGATGAGACACTTATTGTTGAGATTTTCCTTTTCTTCTGAAGTCCCTCATGCCTTGCTTTGGCCAATAGGAACTCTTTATTCCCTGCCGTGCACGTTTCTTCCCACTTGAGTGTTGTACCTCTTATGCTTTATGGAAGCTTCTTTTCAATGTTACTTGCAAAGTGTATAGATGGATAGAGTTAGTGGAGCAGGTGTATTTAATGTTCCCATTCTGTTCCCCTTTTTCTATATTTTCTAAAGGATTACGTCATCATCTGTTCCCCACTGTGTTTTTGTCATAAAGATATAAAACATGTTTTTTTAGTGCTGAAGTTGCTCATCAGATGAGGGAACGAATGGTATTTTGCCATCAAAATGGGCTTAGATGGGAACAAATTTTTGTCCCATCAAACACCCTAAAACTAAACTGTTGGTTGTCTTCAAACAACTCCGAAATAGTGGCTTAGGCTACTCATTTTCAAAGAAAAGCTCAACTTCATAAACTTAACCAATGAATAATCATGATCTTTTCAAAGAATGAACTACTTTCCATAGATGACAAGTAGAAAGAATTTGTTCCAAGGTAAGTGAAGGTTGCTGATCTTCTGTCTCACTAACACTCAGGGCTTGGTGTTTCTCTGTCCATTCCTGGATGTGATTCTTCAAACTTGCTTTTCTGGTGCTTTCCTAAGAAGTTCCATTTCAAAGGATCTTTGCTGAGGATAGTTGTGGTGAGGTTTAGACTGGAGTGAGCTTAGGTCTTGGGTCAAGGAACATTTTACTTTTCTGTTTGAGCTTTGGACTTTTCTGTTTGGGGAACACCTCGTCTTTGTCTTTGTACGATTTCTTCCTTTGAAGGAGTCTTGTCTGGTATTTTCTTCTGAATTCTTTTGAATGGATGTTCCCATTTTCTTTGATTTCTTTCTTCTTGTCCTGTTTGCTCAGGTTGCTGTTGTTTCTTGACCTTTTCAGTGGACCTGGTGGTATTTAGGAATGTGTATGGTTGTGTGTATGGAATGAAAATGTGTATTTGATTGTGGTGAGGTGAGTGTTTGATGGTAGATCCTTGTCTGTGGAGTTCACCTTTCCTTCTGCAGTACTTACAGCATCAAAGCAAGTTCAGAAGTTTCATTGTGGTTACACCTTAGGAACGCTCTCATGAGTAAGTGTTTGGCATTTTTCGTTCCTCACCAGTTTTAGTTCACACAGATCAGCATCC